ATGCAAATTGTCATCATTAAATAAAAAAATAAGTCGTACTTCGAATACAATAAATCAAAGCAGCAGAATATGTGCAAAAAAATGTTATAAAATAAAACTAAAAATATTTCTTACGCTTAAAATTACAAAAGGATAGCTGTAATCACTAGTCTATGGACATCGAAAAATGAGAAGTAATAAAAAATGTCACAGAAAAATTCTGTAAATTTAAAAATTGTGATATGATAAATAAAAATAAATAAATAAATAATGAAAATCCAATCGAATAGAAATAGTACAATAAATGCAACGCAAAAATATGAAATGTAGCAAAATACAAAAACACAACAAAAATGCAAACAGTACAACATACACAATGCAATAAAAAAGTACAACAAATATAGTATCTAAATACAATGAAAATACAAACATACAATAAATGCAACACAAAAGTTCAATTAAAATACAAACAATACAATACGCATATAAAACAATAAATATAATACAATAAGTATATTAAAAATACAAAAATACAATAAAAATACAAACAATAGACTGCACAACACAATACAAAAATACAAAATGTAGTAAAACAGAAAAATACGATAAATACAACACAAGAAATGCAATACGATGCAATCAATAAAACATAAATAAATAAAATACAAAAAGAATAAAAATAAAATATAAATAAAAGACAATACAATAAATAAATGAAATACCAAAAATTATAAAAAAATACAAAAATAAAACAAAGCTTAACATATATGAAATATAATCGAACTCCTCAGTTTCATGCCAAAAAGTTCTTGCAAACAGTCAGAGATTAGATGGCTCTTCAAATTAGTGTTAAAGACAAAATCAGAAAAGCATTCATAATATAAGTTATACAGAATATAACAAAGTTGAAAAGAATGAAGAATATTTTCCACAGACAAAAAATGTTGCCATCATTATTATCCATATCTCATATCAAATGCATTAATGTGAAGAACTGAAAACATAAAAAACCATTTGGTATAAAAACAAACACTGATTGATAAATAAAAAGGAAATAACAAACCGCAAAAAAAAAAGAAACTCTTAAAATATAAAATCTACAATCAACAATTATGCACATTGAAAAGGATGAAAATTTTTTTTGGAATATTTTCCACCAAAAAAAAATATTGCCAACAGCATTATCCATATTTCGTATCAACACTGATTGATAAATAAAAAGGAAATAAGAAATCGCAAAAAAGAAAAAAAAGAACTCTCAAAATGTAAAATCAACCTCTGATCAACAATCAACAATTATGAACTGCATATTGAAATGGATGAAAATTTTCTTTAGAATATTTTCCACAAAAAAAATGTTGCCATCAGTATTATCCATATCTCGTATCAACACTGATTGATAAATAAAAAGGATAACACTGACTGATAAATAAAAATAAAAGGCACTGATTGATAAATAAAAAAGAAAGTGTTGCCATCAGTATTATCCATATCTCATATCAAATGCATTATTGTGAAGAAGTGAAAACATAAAAAGCCATTTGATACATAGGAAATAAGAATTCGCAAAAAAAAAAACCTTAAAATATAAAATCAACCTAACATGGAAAAATAAAAAATCTGATCAACAATCAACAATTATAAACTGTACATTGAAATGGATGAAAAATTTCAAATTGTCTTTATAGCTGCAATAATTAAAAGTGACCAAACATAATGACTGCTAAAATTAGTTTTAAAAACAAAATCAGAAAAGCATGCATAATACAAGTTTTACAAAACATATTAAAGGTCTTATAACATTAAAAACACATGTTTTACAGGATATATTGCCTCATGATGGCGTTGAGAAATCCATTTGCGTGAAAAACCATAGTTATAAATCGGTTGTTAAATTTACAAAGCATTAATTGAAAATTAAAAAACATTGCATCAACAAATGAGCTGCTACAAATACAGCATAAAATATAATCAGTAAATTAATATTGAAAATTAATAAAATCTTATTCCAAATATGAAAGCGATCCCTAAAAAGCTATCAAATACTATGATTATCCTATTTCGAACTTCTTAAGCCTAACAACTATAAATCAAATGATAATTAAGGAAACAAGAGAATAAAGATTTGCAAAAAGTAGCACTAATAAAATAGTTAATGATTGAAAAAAAATAACTTGCCGAAATAATAACTAATAATTACAAAAACCTTGCAACTGTACCTATAAAAACCAAAAGAAACATTTAATATAATAATCTTCACTGTTAATCCTTAATATATAAATGGTAAGATTATTAAGACCATAAAGGAAAGAAAAAAAACCAATTAAGAACTGAGACGTAAACCTATCAGTAGTAACTATCAAAGTGATTAAATAATATAAAATAGTTCTAAATTTCTAAAGGGAATAAACTCCTAAATAAAATTTAGAACAGACCAAACATATATTTGTCTCAAACTGAATTAATTAAATAAAATCCAAGTATTTTCGCACTAGGTAATGAAAAAAAAAAAAAAGGAAAAGTGTATTGCAACGCCGTTAGCATGGAGAAAACATAAGTAACATATGCAAATATTAAAAACATCGTAAAGGGCAAATACAACTAAAACCGAATTTTTCATACTTTATTTTGATTTTTTTGCTTTTCATTTTTTCTCTTTTTTTAATTTTCCTTTTTCATTGTTTTTTTCTTTTTTCTTCTTTTTTCTTTTTTTTTCCATTACATTTCACATAATCGTTTTGCTTGCTGTGTTGTTTAAATGATGCATGACAAGGTTTTCATTTTTCCTCCTCTCCTTTTAAACATAAGGTCCGTTAGCTTAGCTTTGATGCTTGTTACATTGTGAAAGACAGGCATCGACAAGTTTAAGCCTAGTCATACATATAAGCCTAAAAGTTGGATAGAATGAAATGCCAAATAAAAACCAAGTGCCTATCCAAAGGGTAAAGTATGCATATAAGCCTTAAGGGAAATGCATTAATCATAAACACAGTTTTAACTCTTTTTTTTTTTGCAGAAGAAAAAACAAACGATGAAGAATGGAAAATAGCAAGTAGAAGAAAGAAAGTACACAAGTCCTTTTAACTTACTTTAAAAAAAAAGAAAAACCCAATCCGAAAATGTCGTGTGAAGAAAATGTTTTCATAAATCTTCATATTTTTGCCACACTTCACTTTTTGCTCGCTTTTTTTTTCCCTCTTTAAGCTTCCATTTTCAAAGTTCCTTTC